CAGCAGGAAATAACCACTTGGTCCCTTAAGAAACCTTTCTAAATGAAGTCATTCTTCGGGTGATATTCCAAAGCAGATTCTGGGAAAATATTGATAAGGATCTACATTGTGCTCACAAAACTTAGTTTGCAGATGATTCCTAATCACATACTCAAAGCATGAATTAAATAATTTTTAACTAATTTTGGCATAAGATGATAAATAGAATAAAAGAGCTCAGTCATGGAATTATACTTATGAAAACTTAGGGAAACATCCATGACATTGGTCTGGTCAATAATTTCTTGACTAGGACTCCAAAAACAAATGAGATGATCAAACTAAAAATCTTCACAGGGGAAGCAATGGACAGAGAGAAGAAAGCCCATGGACTAGGAGAAAGTCTTTGCAAACCATACTCTGCTAAGGGGCTAACACCCAAAATACATCAGGAACTCAGTGTAACAGCAAGAAAACAAATAATCCAACTTAAAAATGGAAAAGGGCATTAAGGCGCAGGACTCCCACATGGCTGACCATGGTTCAAGGCTTGGGCCTGGAAGCTTGAAACATGCCAGAAACGTGTATGTGCACGCCCAAAATCTCAAGAGGAGAATAGAAGAGAAGGATTACAGTGTGGCCATCTCCCTCAGGAAGTGATTTCGTGCTTTCTGTCTCTCTTTCTCTCCAGCAAGCACACACACCCTATAGCAAATTCCTATTAAAAAAAAAAATTGAGCAAAGGCTCTAAACGGTCATATCTCAAAAGAGGAGATTTGAATGGTCAACAGTTACATAAAAAATTACTCAACCTTTCTAAACATCAGGTAAATGCAAATTAAAACTACAATGAGAAATACTTCACATCTGTTAGACTATTACCAAAAAGAAAACTTAAGCATTGGTAAGAATGTGGAAAAGGGGAGACCAGCAGTTAGCATAATGGCTATGTTGCTGGACTCCCATGTTGACCACGGTTTGAGTCCAGGATCCTGTGGCTTAAACTCATGCCGGGCACGTGTGCGTGAGTGCCCAAGATCCTGAGAGGAGAATGTAGGAGAAGAGATTGCAGTATGGCCACCCCTCTGAGGGGTGATTTCTCACTTTCTGTTTCTCTGTCTCTCTCTGTCTTTCTGGCAAGTGCATGCGCCCTATAGCAAAACCTCCCCAAAAAAAAAAAAAGAATGTGGAAAAAGGGAATATACACTATACTCTATTGGTGGGAATGTAAATTAATACAACCATTTTGATAACTAGTATAGAAGTGTAAATGAATAAATAGATAAATGAAGTAAAACTACATATGATATAGCAATCCCACAATTAGCTATATATGTAAGAA